TACACAAGCCACAGATTGTACTCTTTATGGACTGAAACGGGAAATATATACAAGAAAATAAACTTTTTCCCAAACACACAGTGTCTAAACTCTGGTGTCCAAACACCCAGCGTGCCCTAGAACTTCTGTCTGAGGACCAACTGGGATCACCCAGCCACAGGCACAAACGACCTGAGAACACAGCAGGAAAGGGAGTGATTGAAAAAGCTTCTTCTACTTTCCCCAACGCACAAGTGGTTATCTCCACCCTGCTACCACTAAAAGACTTCCACCCTGCTACCATACAGCGGGTAAACGCAAGTATTTCCTGTGACTGTGCGTCAAAACCAAATGTCTACCTGGCCCACCACTCCACCCTGGACGTGAACAGCCTTTATGACCAACACCTCACACAGGAGCAACAGATCAACAAACACCCCGCCCAGACCAGCGAGACACTCTCCCAGACCTGCGGGACCCCGCCCGGACCTACACATAGAGGACCCCCGCCGAGGGGACCAACATCCAGACCACAGCACCACCCGTTACATCCACACCCCAACCAATCAATACCCCCCCCCAAACCAACCATGCCACACCCCATTTAGGCCCCTTCAGATCAGACCTATGCCCCTCCTGCCCACCCCAGGCCCCCCACTCCCGCAAAGAGGGCCTCAACATGAAAGTCACACATACGCCCAGGCCGTGAGCAGGCAAACAGGCCCAACCCCCACTCTTACACTAGCCCAAGCCAATGGCATGTACCAGATTGACTCCAAACCACACGACTAACAACATTGGACAATTTATGGAACACAAAGCCTTCACTATCTCATCCTAGAATATGAGACCTTTGGCCTAAAGAGCAGGAACCTGGACTTCACCAAAGAAAATCAGAAATACAGACGTTGCCATCCTACAAGAAACATGGCATAGAGGAGACGGACCCACTGGTTGCCCTCTAGGTTACAGAGAGCTGGTAGTCCCATCCACCAAACTACCAGGTGTGAAACAGGGAAGAGACTCAGGGGGTATGCTAATTTGGTATAGAGCAGACCTAACTCTATTAAATTAATAAAAACAGGAACATTTAACATTTGGCTAGAAATTAAAAAGATAATCTCAACAGAGAAAATTTCCTCCTGTGTGCTACCTATATCCCTACAATAGAATCCCCATACTTTAATGAAGACAGCTTCTCCATCCTAGAGGGGGAGATCAACCATTTCCAGGCCCAGGGACATGTACTAGTCTGTGGCGACCTAAATGCCAGAACTGGACAAGAACCTGACACCCTCAGCACACAGGGGGACAAACACCTACCTGGAGGTGACAGCATTCCCTCCCCCATATGCCCCCCTAGGCACAACTACGACGACATAACCAACAAAAACGGGTCACAACTCCTGCAGCTCTGTCTCACGCTGGGTATGTACATAGTCAATGGTAGGCTTCGAGGAGACTCCTATGGTAGGTACACCTACAACTCATCCCTTGGCAGTAGTACTGTAGACTACTTTATCACTGACATCAACCCAGAGTATCTCAGAGCGTTCACAGTCAGCCCACTGACACCCCTATCAGACCACAGCAAAATCAGTCTACTTGAACAGAGCAATACTCAGTCATGAGACATCAAAGCCAAAGGAACTGAATCATATTAAGAAATGCTATAGATGGAAGGAAAGTAGTGTCGAAACCTACCAAAAAACTATTAGGCAACAACAAATTCAATCCCTTCTAGACAACTTCCTGGACAAAACGTTTCACTGCAACAGTGAAGGTGTAATCTTGGCAGTAGAAAACCTAAACAGTATATTTGACCTCTCAGCTTCCCTATCAAATCAAAACATTACAAACAGACAACCTAACAAAATTAACAACAATGACAAATGGTTTGATGAAGAATGCAAAAACCTAAGAAAGAAATTGAGAAACCTATCCAACCAAAAACATAGAGACCCAGAAAACCTGAGCCTACGCCTTCACTATGGTGAATCACTAAAACAATACAGAAATACACTACGGAAAAAGAAGGAACAGCACGTCAGAAATCAGCTCAATGTAATTGAAGAATCCATAGAATCTAACCACTTCTGGGAAAATTGGAACACACTAAACAAACAACAACATGAAGAGTTATCTATCCAAAACGGAGATGTATGGGTAAACCACTTCTCCAATCTTTTGGCTCTATGACAAAGAACAAACAGCAAAAACATATATATCATCAAATACAAATCTTAGAATCAACTATTAAAAACTATCAATTACATTGAATAATCTACAGGACAAAATACAAACCCTCCAACCCAAAAAGGCCTGTGGTGTTGATGGTATCCTCAATGAAATGATCAAATATACAGACCACAAATTTCAATTGGCTATACTTAAACTTCTTAACATCATCCTCAGCTCTGGCATCTTTCCCAATATTTGGAACCAAGGACAGATCACCCCAATCCACAAAAGTGGAGACAAATTTGACCCCAATAACTACCGTGGGATATGCGTCAATAGCAACCTTGGGAAAATCCTCTGCATTATCATTAACAGCAGACTCGTACATTTCCTCAGTGAAAACAATGTACTGAGCAAATGTAAAATTACAATTTTTAACAAATTACCGTACGACAGACCACGTATTCACCCTGAAAAACCTTGCCAAACAAACAAACCAAAACAAAGGCAAAGTCTTCTCATGCTTTGTTGATTTCAAAAAAGCTTTTGAATCAATTTGGCATGTGGGTCTGCTATACAAATTGATGGAAAGTGGTGTTGGGGGAAAAAAAAAAAAACATACGACATTTTAAAATCCATGTACACAAACAACAAGTGTGCGGTTAAAATTGGCAAAAAACACAAATTTCTTTCCACAGGGCAGTGGGGTGAGACTCAGCTTAAGACCCACCCTCTTCAACATGCAGAGCATTGGGAAAGTATTCAGACCCCTTGACTTTTTCCACATTTTCTTACGTTACAGCCTTATTCTAAACTGGATCAAATTGTCCCCCCCCCCCCCCCATCAATCTACACACAATACCCCATAACGACAAAGTAAAAACAGGTCTTTAGAAATGTTTGCAAATGTATTACAAAATATAAAACGGTAATATCACATTTATATAAGTATTCAGACCCTTTACTCAGTACTTTGTTGAAGCACCTTTGGCAGCGATTACAGCCTCGAGTCTTCTTGGGTATGATGCTACAAGCTTGGCAAACCTGTATTCTGAGAGTTTCTCCCATTCTTCTCTGCAGATCCTCTCAAGCTCTGTCAGGTTGGATGGGGAGCGTCGCTGCACAGCTATTTTCAGGTCGCTCTAGAGATGTTTGATCGGGTTCAAGTCCGGGCTCTGGCTGGGCCACTCAAGGACATTCAGAGACTTGTCCCGAAACCACTCCTGCATGGTCTTGGCTGTGTGCTTAGGGTCGTTGAACGTTTGCCCTAGTCTGAGGTCCTGAGCAGGTTTTCATCAAGGATTTCTCTGTACTTTGCTCCGTTCATCTTTCCCTCGATCCTGACTAGTCTCCCAGTCCATGCCGCTGAAAAACATCCCCACAGCATGATGCTGCCACCACCATGCTTCACCGTAGGGATGGTGCCAGGTTTCCTCCAGACGTGACGCTTGGCATTCAGGCCACAGAGTTCAATCTTGGTTTCACCAAACCAGAGAATCTTGTTTCTCATGGTCTGAGAGTCCTTTAGGTGCCTTTGGCAAACTCCAAGTGGGCTGTCATGTGCATTTTACTGAGGAGTGGCTTCCGTCTGGCCACTCTACCATAAAGGCCTGATTGGTGGAGTGCTGCAGAGATAGTTGTCCTTCTGGAAGATTCTCCCATTTCCACAGAGGAACTCTGGAGCGATGTCAGAGTGACCATCGGGTTCTTGGTCACCCCCCTGACCAAGGCCCTTCTCCCACGATTGCTCAGTTTAGCCGGGTGGCCAGCTCTAGGAAGAGTCTTGGTGGTTCCAAACTTCTCCCATTTAAGAATGATGGACGCCACTGTGTTCTTGGGGACCTTCAATGCTGCAGAAAGTTTTTGGTACCCTTCCCCAGATCTGTGCCTTGACACAATCCTGTCTCGGAGCTCTACGGATAATTCCTTCGACCTCATGGCTTGGTTTTTGCTCTGACATACACTGTCAACTGTGGGACCTTACACAGACAGGTGTGCCTTTCCAAATCATGTCCAATCAACTGAATTTACCACAGGTGGACTCCAACTAAGTTGTAGAAACATCTCAAGGATGATCAATGGAAACAGGATGCATCTGAGCTCAATTTCAAATCTCATAGCAAAGGGTATGAATACTTATGTAAATAAGGTATTTCTGTTTTTTATTTTTAATACATTTGCAAAAATCTCTAGAAACCATGACTTTGCTTTGTCATTATGGGGTGTTGTTATTATTGTGTGTAGATTGATGAGGGGGAACAACTATGTAATCCATTTTAGAATAAGGCTGTAACATAACAAAATGTGGGAAAAAAGTCAAGGGGTCTGAATACTTTCCGAATGCACTGTAAATACAACCCATATTTATGTTAATTCATTTTCCTTTAACTATTTGCACATCGTTAAAACGCTGTATATAGCCATAATATGACATTTGACATTTCTATAGTCCTTTAGAACTTTTGTGAGTGTAATGTTTACTGTTCATTGTTTTGTCTATTTCACTTTTGTTTACCGTCTATTTCACTTGCTTTGGCAAAGTTAACATATGTTTCCCATGCTAATAAAGCCCTTTGAACTGAATTGAATTGAGAGCGAGACACACACTAGGAGACACAGAGAGAGAGAAACATGTCCATAACCTGCTCATTTCTATTGTAAAGCTGTGCTTGGCAATATGGATCAACACGTCATGCCAATAAAGCAAATTGAAATTGAATTGAGAGAGCGAGAGACAGAAACAAGCTTTGACAAAGACCTCTGCCAAAACACGTCATCAGCGTCTTTGAACTTGAATCCAGCAGAATAAAACATAAGTAAAACAGGAGAAATAAGCACCTCTCCATGAGCTTCTCTCTGTCCCAGTTGAAGTGACTCAGAAGTATTCTGGTAATTGTTGCAGGATTCTAAAAAGGAGAGAGAGAGAGAAACGGTTGTGTTATACACGCAACAAGTTACCACTGTATGCAGTCCAACGTTAGGCCTACACATGTAAAAAGGGTTGCTCGTTTTTGACTGCTGGTATTATGATAATGCTGCTAAGAGGCTAAGATAACATTTAAATTAAATTATCATGGGGTACACAGAATTAGGGCTAATGCAAACCTTGGACTGGTTTATAGTGCTGTGTGTTATTATTATTATAACATTGATGATCTGTGTGAGTGCCAGCCAAAACTCTTCACTGATCATAACTAGGTCATTGTGTTTTGCGCAATCATGTGACATAGCAAGATTCTATCCAGTATTTTCAGAAATGAGAACAGCAAAAAGGCAAGCAACTGTCTAAACATGGTGCTGCACCATTGGACATGAACATAAAAAAAATAGAAAAAAGGGAAAGTTTGATGAAAAATCTTTCAATTAAAAAAAGGTTAAAATCCAGGTCATGTGACAATTGTGCAAAACAAAGGGCCCTAATTCACAACTGAAATCCTCTGTTTGGACATGGTTCAAAAACACACCTTTAATAATGACACTATTGGGCTACTGCTCCTGGAGACTCTGTATATTATGACAGGAGGTAGCTATAGGGCTCCCGGTGACTCTGTATATTATAAAGGGAAACCCGGCCGAGAGCTGCCCAGTGATGTGAGCCTACCAGACGAGCTAAATGCCTTCTATGCTCGCGTCGAGGCAAGCAACACTGAACCATGCATGAGAGCACCAGCTGTTCCGTACGACTGTGTGATCGCACTCTCTGTAGCCGATGTGAGTAAGACCTTTAAAACAGGTTATCCACAAGGCCTCAGGGTCATCATTCTCTCTGTAGCCGTTGTAAGTCCTTTAAACAGGTTAACATTCACAAGGCCTCAGGGCCAGATGGATTACCAGGATAAATACCCAGAGCATGGTCTGACCAGCTGGCAAGTGTCTTCACTGACATGTTCAACCTCTCCCTGTCTGAGTCTGTAATACCAACATGTTTCAAGCAGACCACCATAGTCCCTGCGCCCAAGAACTCCAAGGTAACCTGTCTAAATGATTATCGCCCTGTACCACTCACATCTGTAGCCATGAAGTGCTTTGAAAGGCTGGTCATGGCTCACATCAACACCATCATCCCAGACATCCTAGACCCACTCCAATTCGCAAACCACCCCAACAGATCCACAGACGAGGCAATCCACAGATGAACACATCCCTCTGCAACTGGATCCTGGACTTCCTGACGGGCCACCCCCAGGTGGTGAGGGTAGCAGGGCCTAAAATTAACTTTTTGGTCCACCAGCCACTGTGGCAGGTAGATGGAAAAATCTGCCAGCCACTCAGATTTTTTACTGCCCAAAATATTATTTGGCCATAATTATCAAAAATAAATAAATAAATAAATAAATACAATTAAATGACGACCATGCTTAATGTTTCTAAAACAAACAAAAATATTATTAAGAAGTCATGTGATATTTTGCTAAATTTATTTTCCTTTTGTGACCCGAGGCTTTTAACCAAAATATCAGATGAGACAAAATGTTCAGCTGCCACTAAGGGTGGGAGGTTACCGTGGTAACGGGGCCACTCGAGTCATGTCACGTGTGTCTGTGTGAGATTTTGGATCCGACTAGTAGGCAGCATCTCTTCCCTATTAGTTGAAGCAGCAGACTCAAACTAACACTGAAAAACAAGCGACCCTGTGAACAAAGCAATGTAAATAGCCAAGAAACAGTCTCACTTTGTGGACCAACTTTGATGCCTGTGTGCACGCCTCTATCAGCACTGTGCACAAGGCTCCCTAGTCAGGCAGTGTTGCTGCGTAAGGTGGGTTATAGTTATCGCATTTCTTTGCGCGATTAGCAGCTATGAAACAAAAATGGCAGAAACACTTTGAAAAACAGCTACTGCACCATTTTTCTGCTATAAAATCACAACTCACACGTGTGCTCATACTTGACTTTTTAACTCTATTTGTATTTGCAAATGCAAATGTAGTGCTTGCAGAGCACTGCAAATTCACCAGCCCCCTACGTGGCTGGTGAAAGACATTCTTACCCGTCAATACCTAAATCTACCTGCATTTGCCGGTTTTTTATTTTATGCCCTGGAGGGTAGGTAACAACACGTCAACCACACTAACCCCGAACGAGGGGGCCCCTCAGGGGTGCGTGCTTAGTCCCCTCCTGTACTCCCTGTTCACCCATGACTGTGTGGCCGCACACGACTCCAACGCCATCATTAAGTTTGCTGACGACACTACGGTGGTAGGCCTGATCACCGACAACGATGAGACAGCCTATAGGGAGGAGGTCAGAGACCTGGCAGTGTGGTGCCAGGACAACAACCTCTCCCTCAAAGTCATCAAGACAAAGGAGTTGATCGTGGACTACAGGAAACGGGGGGCCAAGAACGCCCCCATCACATCGACAGGGCTGTAGTGGAGCGGGTCGAGAGCTTCAAGTTCCTCTGTGTCCACATCACTAAGGACCTATTATGGTCCAAACACACCAACACAGTCGTGAAGAGGGCATAACAACGCCTCTTTCCCCTAAGGAGGCTGAAAAGATTTGGCATGGGCCCTCAGATCCTCAAAAAGTTATACAGCTGCACCATTGAGAGCGTCTTGACTGGCTGTATCACCACTTAGTATGGCAACTGCTCTGCCTCTGACCGCAAGGCACTACAGAGGGTAGTGTGTACGGCCCAGTACATCACTGGGGCCAAGCTTCCTGCCATCCAGGACCTCTATACCAGGCGGTGTCAGAGGAAGGCCCTAAAAATTGTCAGACTCCGGCCACTGAAGTCATAGACTGTTCTATCTGCTAACGCACTGCAAGCAGTACCGATGCACTAAGTCTGGAACCAGGACCCTGAACAGCTTCTACCCCCAAGCTATAAGACTGCTGAATCGTTAGTTAAATAGTTAATCAAATAGCTACCCGGACTATCTGCATTGACCCTTTCTGCACTTTGTCTCATCACATTCACGCTACTGTTTATCTGTCACTTTATTCCTAGTTATATGTACATATCTACCTCTATTACCTCGTACATCGACTCGGTACTGACACCTTGTGTATATAGCCAAGTTATCGTAACTCATTGTGTATTTATTATTACGCGTTTTACTTTTCTGTTTCTCCATTTTCTTTCTCTGCATTATTGGGAAGGGCCCGTGAGTAAACATTTCACTGTTAGTCTACACAAGTTGTTTACGAAGCATGTGACGAATAAAATGTGCATTGATTTGAGACTAGACCTACATACTGTACAGTTGAGTTCCTCCTCCAGGATTCATGCCCAGGCTTAGCTTAGAATTTAACTCCAATGTTGACAATTGAAAGACATTACATTGTCAACATTTGAGTTAAATTCTTAGCTACACCAGGCTGTGCATACTGTGCAAATACATACAGAACACTTAGTTCTACCAATTCAAAGTGCTAGTCCTTGGATTATTTATTTAGACCAGAGCAGAGGCACTGGATCATGGTTCAAAATGTGTTGTTGTTATTGCTCAGGACTTAGGCTATTATGAAACTGACTAGGGGCAGTGGGGCACAGTCAGCTGAGCACATCCCAATGGGCGGTTTTACCAAATGATAGTTATGGGGGGGGGGGGTTACAGGTCTGTCAATCTCTGACATGACGAATGATGAGTAGGCTGGCTACCTGGCAGATACTTTGATCACAGAAGGGCTGTTTGGGAGGCACATAATTAGCTAGCTATACAGCAATGTTTCATGATTCATTGACGAACTAGCTAACGTTAACTAGTACGGAAATGTGAAACGTACATCTAGCTAAGCTAACTAACGTTTGCTAATTAGCTAACTTGACGTTAGCTAATTACTGGAGGGGAGCGGGACGTCAGCTAATTACCTAGTTGACGTTAATTAGCTACCGGTAGCGAGCTAGCTATTTAGCTAGCTAGTAGGTAACCGACTTAGCTACCTACAAGCCAGAAAGCAAACAACTTTGGTGGATAACATGCTAGCAAAACATATTTGTCTTGAGTTAACTAGCTAGCTATCTAATCACCCGTTTATTTGGAAGATTCGGCTAGCTAACAACAGCGTAGAGGCCTGTCGACTTTCCACCGTCCCCGGTCTTTCCTGCATCGACATTGCCTTCGTGATATCTCACCTGGATGACCTCGTTGACCTCCCTGATACACTCCACCATATGCTGGAGGATCTGCTCGGCAGTCAGCACTTCGAAGCGGTAGTCCTCTTCCTCTTGCCCGGGCCCATGACCACTTCCCCCGGTCTCCAAACCCTCGTCCCGCTCCCCTCCAGCCTCTGCGGGATCGACCAGTTCCACCTCGTCCTCGCCTAGCTCCAGGGTGTCGTCCCCCGGCTCCTCCGCGCCGCTGTCTTCGCTGCATTCCTCGTCCTCGTCGAAGTCATAGTTATAGCCCTCGTCTGAGTCCATTGCTAGGTCGATATCGAGATGTCACAAGCCGACGTAGGTGCTTGGAAATGGGGCAGCCTGCTTGTCGTGGAATGGATCAAAACAAAAAAAAACGGTCCGGTCGGTCTTGTATTTTTCAGTTGTAACGAAAATAACAACAAATGTCGCCGCTAGATGAACCAACAAAGAGACGCGGCGTCATGACGTACGTCACTTGGATAGATCAAATAAAAACATGGTAATGGCTAGAAGGGATCCAGCTTTTGTCAAATTTACGTAAAAATTTTTTTTTTTTGCATTTCATCTAACCCTTTTCCTAACCTTAACCTAATTTTCCTACCTGCTACGTTAATTCTCCTAACCTTCTGCGTAAATTCTCCTAACCTGCTACGAAACGTAAAATCTGCTAATGGGGATCATAATAAATACAAATCTGACGTTAATTTGACAAAAGCTGGATCCCTTCTAGCCTAAAAACATGATTAAAATGTTTTGTATTTTACTATCCGTGTTTTAAATAAAGTCAATTAAAATAATATGTTTGGGTATATTGAGTTCAGCTCAATGTTATTTAATTTTATGTGTGTAAGTCACTATGGAAGTTCTAGAGCGCACAGTTATATTTTGCTTAACAGCATTTTAAAACTCCACGGTGAAAGTATATTTTTACATTTACGTCATTTAGCAGACGCTCTTATCCAGAGCGATTTACAGTTAGTGAGTGCATACATTTTTCATACTTGCCCCCCGTGGGAATCGAACCCACAACCCTGGCGTTGCAAGCGCCATGCTCTACCAACTGAGCTACAGGAGGACAGTATACAAAGTAGTAAGAAATAGATGTAATTGTTGTAAAAAAAAAAAAAAAACGGAGTGTATTCTTTTACTATCATACTAAATTAAAATATTGAATTATTACACAATTTTTTCTTTAGATTGGTGATGTTAATATTAAAGTTTACAGTCACCACGAATACATTCAATTGATTGCTTTAAACAGATTAATTTTTTGGGGTTTGTTACTATAGGCGCCTGTCCGTCGCTGTTATCATTTTTAAGCTCAAGTGGCCCAGAAAATCGGGGTCTCTGCATAAAAGTCGATGGCAAACAAATACACGGATTTCACAGTCAAGCTATCACTAAAATGAAATCCAACCCCTGTCAGAATCTCCATCTGACGTTCTAGAATTTAGATAACTTGTTGTCCCCTGTTCTATTGATTTCAACATGTTATTGCTGGAAGTGATTAACACATTTTTTAAATACACCCATGGAAGATCCAATTTACTGGAGGGTGGTCCAAATTAAGCAAGGGTTGTCAAACTTTTTATTTTTTTTGCTTTGGGGAGTGGTTGTGTGGTGTCTTTTTATTTTTTTGGGCAAGGGTTTTAGGGAGGGAAGCGTTTTTTCCCTGGTTTAAGTTCGCTCTTTTACTATATAATTTCTTACATTGTATTCATTTAGCAGACGCTCTTATCCAGAGCGACTTACAGTTAGTGAGTGCATACATTTTCATACTGGCTCCCCGTGGGAAACTAACCCACAACCCTGGCGTTGCAAGCGCCATGCTCTACCAACTGAGCTACAGGGGACTACATCCTAGACACATGTCCTCATCTGCTTGCATGTGCCTCCCCTATATCAAGGTGTTTTGGTACTTCCCCTATGCACTATGCTTTTCAGTGTGCTAACTTTTACTATACCACAGGTCAGCATAGTCTACCAGTGTAATGGACTACCCACCATTCATAGTGACAATAGTGGATCGGGTATCCAGTTCTGCAATAGGCTAACTAGCAATCATACCACACATTAAAAGCATAAAAAGCTGCATATATTTTTTTTATATGAATCGACAAGAACAAATAGGAATAGCTGATAGGCAGTGGAGAGCCCAGGTGCATCATGAAAGAACAGTGAAGACATGACACACAGTTCAAAAATCTCCCCTATTGATCTTGTTTAGGGACAACACAATGATCCTGCTGAATGTGCTGTCTGTTGCAGATCATCATTCTCCCAAGTCGTCCGGCAGGCCCAGTTATTCAGGAAAGCTTAACATGCGCTCTGCCTCCTCTCCAATCAGGGCT